ATGAAGGAATATATTGGTCTGTACCCCTTTCTACCAGGCAAGGTTCATTTGGGATTTTTAAATATTAACCTTGAAGATCTCCATCTTTCTATCATTATTCTTGAAAATATGTGTGTATTTTCATTCTTAGGATGTGGCTGCAATGTTCTGAAACATTCCATCAGTAGCTAGCTCTGTAAGAAGACAACTAAAAGACAACTATTATTGATGACATTGTTAAGCTAGACTTACTATTAGACTTACAGCTACTAGCTCTTAGATTTAATCCTCTATGACATAGAAATTAAGAATTTCACATCAGTCTTCCTTCAAGCACCAAAAACCCCAACTTACAATAGTTTTAAGTGACATCAATGAACTATCTCATTTAATAAGAGTGGACTTTTCCAGTTTTAGGTATTTTCAGGTTAGGCTTTGAGGTAACTTCAGTCTTCCCTTTGGGCTAACCTTCCATCTTCTTTCTCATTCACACTTACGAGAGAACCACATTCTTTTTGGTGTCACACACACTCACTATACAGAGAGGAAGCCAAAGGAGAGAGGTATGATTTCCTGGTCTGGACTTTTTCCTCATGAAGCATATTCCTTCCCCAACTTGTTATGTTGGTTTCTTCAGCCTCTTTCAGCTTTGTAGAAGTTTGGATATGTTTTAGTTACTGTTGTCACAATGCTGCCACAAATAAAATGAACATTCTACTTTGATAGAGTGGTAAAGAATGGAGAGAAACCTACTCAGTACCACCAGGATGGCTGAGGCTGAAATTGCTGCTCCAAGCATTTTTAATGCACCACATTTTTCCATTTCATGTAACATCAAATTCATCCTTGAATGAGCTATTTAATTTTCAGGTCTCCTGACCCACACCATACTAATTCTCAGGGTGGGTTATATGTGAGTCATTGGGGGGAATTATAGCTGTTATTGTTTGTTTAAAAAGTTATTCATTATTTTGCACTGTCACTTTGTTTTGTAACTTTGAGTTATTGTAATCATCTCTAAGTAATGAGTTAGTACTTCTGAGTTGAATTGTATTTGTGGTAACCAGTTCAGAAGAATTCACTTTAAGATGGGAGATAGGAAGGATTTTATAGTTTTGGATCATGAATATGTATCATATTTTTCAAAATAGCAGTTACTTTAGAAGAACTCTGTTCAGCTGATGATCTTTGAATTAAAGTAACACATTACTGATATTCTTTTACGCAACAGCCATTTTCCCAATGATATATTATTTAGCCACATGGTAGTAAATACTTATCAACACAGAAATATTTCCATAGTAAATTCTCTTTATACCTCATTTTCACATATTCACCTGATCTAATCACATCACAATGCAAGGTACATAAATATATGTGTTACTTCAGGGGAATAATACTTTAATTCTTGTAAACTTATACTGATCAGGATACAAATAATCTGGATGAGTGAGAGATAATAGTATGACTGGACAATTATGTGTCCAGTTATGTGTATACCTGCTTTAAAAGAGGAGAGAATGTATCTGTCCATCACAGCACTTCACACCCCTAGCTGAGATACTTCTACAATGAATACAGTTGATAAACAAAAAGCAGCATTTTAAAACTAATGATAGATTTCTTTAAGTTAACTGTCCCACTTCTTGCAAACTATGAATTTCTGCAATATTCCACAACATATAGTTACACTGAGTCATGAAGAGCAGCTGTGTTTCTTTGTTGTAGTAAAAGAAACACAAAAGACACAAAACACATGAGACACAAAATGTGATTGAACACCAGCAACAATCCATAAAAAACACAGGGATTAGGTATAGAGTAAGGGGTTATGGAGAACAGGAAAATCTCATTAGGACAGGTAAATGTAATAGATAGTTATGAATGGATGAATGGGTTTAAAACTTGTGAATGAAGGAGGAATTGATGTGGAGAAGGGCTCAAGGGGAGAATACATGGAGAGATGGCTAAAATTAAGGGGCATTTCAGGGATAGTATGAAAAGCTAATACAATAGAGGCTTCCTAAAATATATCCATATGTGAAGGGAATCTAAATGGAATTGCCAAATAATGGGGATACTGAATCCCAAACTAGCAACCTCTTGTGACTAAACAAAGCTTTCCAGTACCAGGATTGGGTTCTATCTAATTTAGTTGTTGTCCCATGTAAATAATCCAAGCTGCTTGCAAGACTATGGGTTGCTCTTCATAAACTGACATAAAGTTCCCATTGCCATAGACAACACTAATACAACTCATTGAACATGGAGGAGTTGAGCTAGTGACTACATAGAGCTTTCACAACTACAATCTAGTGTCCTTGGTACAGGAAGATACTCTGCACACTACCAAAAGAAAAATACAAACACCAAGATAGCCACAAACACTGTAATTAACAATGGTGTCATGCCTACAAGATACACTAAGACTATGGCAGCACAAAGCTTGTGGTTGTTATGGGCTATGATTTTAAGGAGTTGCTATTTAATAGATAATTTGCAAGTTTCTAAACATTCTAGAGATGTATATTGGTGATAGTTAGACAACAATATACATATGATTAATTTCACTACACTATATTTAAAATGATTTAAATGAAAAATTTTCTGTTATGCTTATTTTACAAAAGAATTGAGAAATAATGAACACAACCAAAAGGATTAAGAGGGGAAACTGAGTACTACAGAATCTTTGTCACTATTAGATCTCAGAAATGAAAATTACGCTGAGTTAAACAAACAAAACACTACTGCTCCAAACAAAATGACTTCTAATGATATTTTGCTATACTCATAGATCAGTGCCTTATTCAGCCATCATCAAGAAGCCTCCTCCTGAAGCAGATGGGAATAAATACCTAAACTCACAGTCAGACGTTATACAGAGAGTGAGACCTTGGAACACACAGCTGTAAATGCGATGTCTCCATCAAATCCATCCCTTCAGCATTCAGAGGAATGCTGAATTCATACGAGGAAGCAGAAGGAATCAGGGAGACAGAGGAAATAGAAGACACCAGGGGGGAAAGGCCCACTAAATTATCTAAGCAAAGTTCTTATGAACTCATAGAGACTGAAGCAGCAAGCACAGGGTCTTCACCGGTCTGTACCAGGCCCTCTGCATGTATACTGTAGCCTACAGTTTTGTACTGTTATTGGAATCCTAAATGTGTGAATGAATGGGTCTCTGATTCTTGTGACTTCTCTTGGTGTCTTTTATTTTTCTGTTGACTTATCTTTTCAAACTTGGGTATGATGTTTTTTTATTTTACGTTATATTTTATTTTGTTACATTTTTTTTAAAAACTATAAAGAAATCTGTTTATGTGGCATGCTGTCTTCCATAATATCATCATTAGTTCTCAATTCCCTATGGTACAGAGTATATACTCATGTATAGTTCTTTTATCTCTTTAAATCTAGACTAGATTGTTAATTTACTTGACAATAAGAATGGTTTGTGTGTGACATTTGGAACATCTACAGAAAAGCCAAATGAGCTTTGGTTAGATTTTCCATGGCTCTGGAATGGGGGTTCTAGAAGGATCAACTCTATAAGAAGGCTTGTATGTCATGTGTGGTGGCCATAGTATGTAAGTTCAAGTCATATGTGTTAACCATGGAGGATGAGATATCACATGTAGTAAGACATTGATACCAGTGAATTAGTTGTCCACATTGAGAGAGGAAAAAGCTGTCACAGAGCTGATTATCTAGTTATCATTCAGAATCTACCCGTTATGCTGAATTATCAACTCACACAGTGACCAAATATGAAGCTGTTGCGAGGCTCACTTGTTTTGGGGAATCTTACTTGTGGCAAACTATAATTGTGATAGATATCCTGTATAGTATCAAGACTCCTTGTTTATGGGCTGTATGTAACTCAAGTTCACTGGTAGAGTATTAGGCACAAGACTCTGATTACAACCAATAAGTGTGAAAAGAGACAACAATGAAAAGATTCTATCTGAAAGCAGGCATAGAAGTACAGGCCTGATATTTTAGAACTGCAGAAGTTTAAGGCCTGAGAATAACAATGTGAAAATCAATCTGGGTTATTTTCAAGCTCCTCATTCACAGAGGAGGGCAGTTGGATTTGGTATAGAAGTTTAGCAATTATATGCACAGATAACACTGGATTTAAGCATGTCTACTACTTTTAAGTTATAAGCCTTTTTTTTACATTTATAAGAGTCAAATTTTAAAAAAAATGAAGGGAGCCTTCTCGTGCTAATGCAATATAAGTGATAAAAATTATATTTACTTCTCGTGTTTTTTTCTATCTGATCTATAAATCAACCATTTTCTGAGAGAAGAATTCTGAAAGAAATGCAGTTGATAAAAGCAAATGTGGAATGGAGACAGCTAGTTTACTGTCTTGTGGTTCTGATCTCTTTTGTTGTTCTGAAGAAACATATGATGGTGACTTTTTATAATGTGATTTCATGGGGTTTTCTGCACAGAAGCAAAAGCGATGAGACGGTTACTGTTTGTATATTCCGGCAGAACATTTGGAAGCAATGCTCAGCAGTATGAATTTAGTTTTATGAATGAAAAGAGCAATATTACTAGTATTAGTATCATTAATCTTTGTGTGCACATGAGAGGTGTACATATTCATATGTGTGGATGTGATTGTGCATGTCCCATGGGACCTGTGTGAAGGTCAAAGGGAAACTTCAGATGTCCCTGAATTTCATTTCACATGTTGGAAACAGGGTGCTTTGTGCTTTCCCCCTATGTATGTCAGGCTGATTGGTCTGCCTGTTTCTGAAGATTCTTCTGTCTTTGCCTCCCATCTTCTTTTAGGAGCATTACGAGTAGAGACGTGTACTACAATTGTTAGGTTTATGTGTCTTCTAAGGATTCAAACACAGATCTTCACACTTAGGGGAAGTGATTTCGGTACTGAGACACCTCCTCTCCAGCCTGCAAAAGAACATTTGTTCTGATCCACCTGTGCCACTGGAGAAAATACAGATGGACTAGGCCACACAGTGGCAGGCAGATACACTCACCACAATGAGCTTCATCAGACCTGTCAGAGCAGTCCGACTTGTAGTCACAAACAAGGTGAGATGCAATGCACTTCTTGTCCTGGCACAAAAAATCTGTGACTTCTGAGCAAGTCTCAGTGGTTTCTCCAACTATGCAAAACAAAAACAATAACAGCATTGAGTCATTATTGTCAATACATTTCAAGACAGTTAGTTGCTACATAGATTTCCCATTACAAAAGTTAATGATTTTTGATAACTGCCTGATGTTGACTACTGGACAGCCACCTATCTTTCCTTCTACCTACAGTTACTCATCCCATCACACAACACCTGCATTTTCATTAAATAAATGTGCTGTAAAGCAGCCTACGCATGTAGTCAATACATACAGACCACTGTCACAACCCACCACTATCACCTTGTACCACCCTGCCTATGCCAACCCTTATTACACCCCTTTGTGACCTGCTACTAATAAACAGGGCAATGGGTTTGGAACTACACATTGAAGTCTGGTGGGCTCAGCAGTGAGTAAATAATTAAGGGTAGTGGTTCCCTTTCTCCTAGATCTACCAATAACCAATAGTTCATAGGAAAGGGGCACAGCATATATTTCAATCTTTTAAAGGCCTATTGTTTTCATTTAAATAGACTAAAAATCTGGTTTATGTGTATCAAATATCCTTTGGTGTTGTTGGATCTGTCTCATTTTTATATACCCTTTTTCCTAAGCTTTGTAGTTAAATTAAGCCCTCTGCTGGAAGGTTTCACAGTATATCACATCTATTCTTTATGTTCCTGGTCCTCTGCATGCATTATCTCCACTCCTGGTGCAGAAGTTTTCCTTTATGCGTTTCAAATAGTGTGCTTCTGAAGCACAACTCAAACAACTTGTTTCTAGTTCATTTGTCTTGGCCATCTTTCTCTTAGGTCTTATGCTCTTGATTTCATCTCAGGTAAGAGCAGTTTGATTCCTATATTTGAATTATTTCCACTTCCCTAAGCATTATTCATAGTTTTTTCTCTACACTCTAAGCTCTGGTGAGAAGTTTTCATTACATTCCACTGGGCCTAATACATCCTTTAATATATAATTGGTGACTAAAAAGTGCAGGTTATAATAACTGAACTCATAGGGCTTCCATTAAAGGGGAGTTAATAGATGTTCATAGAATCTTCAAAGATTTTATATTTTTTAAATTCCACTGTCATAGATACATAGACAAATGGTATTTCACAGATTAATAGTAGGTTAAAGTTCTAAAACGATTTACAAAATCACCTTCAAAAATATAACTAAACAAAGGAATGTCATTATCACATAGACCAGTGGTTCTCAACCTCCCTAATGCTGTGACCTTTTAATACAGTCCCTCATGTAGTGGTGAACCTCAAACATGAAATTATTTTGTTGCTACTTCATAACAGTAATTTTGGCACTGTTATGAATAGTAATGTAAATATCTGATATGTAGGACATCTGATATGTGACCTCTGTAAAAGGGTCTTTCCATCTCCAAAGATGTTGCAACCCACAGTTTGAGAACTGATGACGTAGATGATTATAGGCTGGCATGCCTGGGGTTAGGTTCATTTACTTAATTTTAGGTTATATTCCACGAGTAAAAAGAACAAAAACCTTTTGTAGATTCCACTTTAGTGAATTCCTATTACCTTTGAGCCATTTTATGCTACAATAGCTAACACCTGTATAACTTCCACGAACAACTACTAATGAATTAGGACAGTGCAAAGATGAAGAAGGAAGGAGAGGCAGTCTAAGACTATAGTCAACAGTTCAATTATGGGCTCAAAGGTCATGTTAACCAAGTACTATAGAAATGTTGCTACATTACCCTAATTAACTCTAGTGAGAATTTGTAGTGAATCCAACATAGTATATAAATACTCTTCAGTATGCAAGTCTATGCAATTGAAATTGTTTTATTTTTTCCTTGCCATAGGATATGAATCTATATAATTACTCCATGGGGGAAATGTGCTTTGACTTTTAACTCTAAATAACTAGTCCTTTAATTATTAAAATATGAAAAATGCACTAATCTTTAAATAAGGCTATTTTTCTGCAATATATAACTATAAAGATATTAAGACAGAGGAAGTCAGAATTCTGCAGTTCAGTGAATGAAATCTTGTCTAGGGTTTCTGTGGAACAGAAGGTACACTGGGGACAAATAATTTTAAAAAGGAGCCTTCAAAATCCCAAGCAAAGTATCTTTTAATATAAGGAGGTGGGAAATGGAAAATCTAGATATTTAGTGAGGATATACCTTGCACATATGTAATCATAATCCATATCTTTAGTCAACCAAAGCAATAAGAAAAATAGCTATTGATTTGGGAGACAAACATGTGAAATGAAAGATACTCTCACATATCCTATAGTTGATAATATCAGAAATGGTAGATCATTTCTGCTCAGAATAAAATTTAAAATGATCCGAGTAGCAGCACATGGCCTCTAAATAAGACAAGACTGGGTATAAATCCTAAAATGAAATTAAACTATTGAAATTGGGAGTCTGCAAATGTGTGCAAATACATTTCTGAAGTATACAAGTTACAGGAAAGAATCATAAATTTTCTATGATCAATATACAAGTAACTATTATAGGGATAAAATTATAAAACATAAGTTTCTTATAAGGTAAATACTGTTTGTACAAACTTGACTAATACTGTAAGAAAACACAAGAGGAATGAGTTCCCAGCTTCAAGGCTACTCCTCAAATTGTGCTAGTATATCTTCCTACAATATGCGCAGGTACAAAGACCCTCCACTTTACCACCTTTTCTCTATCACATCTCCAGCTCAGCTTGTACACATCAGAAGTAGAGTTTATTTTTTTTTAGAGGAAGAAGATATGTGAAGCATTTGGTGTGGGTAAGTGACATTAGATGATCCATGATTTGAGAAATCAGAGATCCTGGGTTTAGAGCAGGGAACATGACCGGCTTGTCATGTCTCTAGCTCATAGGCCTCTTAGTCATATAAGAAGGGTCTGTAGGTCATGTAAGACATAATTGATTAAAGGTATGTACCAATTATGACCTATGAGTTCCATGTGGCTGAGGATAGCTATGACTGGAGCTCAGCAAAAAATTGAAAACTTGAAATAATATGAGAAATATGACAAACCTATCTTGATAGATTTCAAGGGTGAAATTTGTAGATAACAACTCTGTTAACATATAAAAATAAATCTTAGGCTTTGGACTGCATGGTTAATCTCATAATAGACAATTATGTCAGTGAGACTTTTTGTCACTTTGACAAAGACAGGGGAGAAACAAGACAAGGGAGGAAAAGTTTCTTTCGGATCAAGGGTTCAGAGGTTTTGTTTCATCATCAGCATTGAATATGGCCTGACATAGATCAGAAGCATAATGACAGAGCAGAACTGCTCACTGGAACACAGTCAGGAAGCAGCATGAAACACAGAAAGGATTGCTCAGAAGACATCTATCTCCATGATATACCCCAGAGATCCACTTCAAACCAGGTCTCTTTCTGGGAATGCTATCATATTATGCATCTGTGAAGACTGTTCTTTGATTAAGTCAGAGTTCTCAGGATCCCATCATTTCTCAATGATAGTATCTACACAGAGGAGAGCACACCTACAAAATACAAGCCTTTCCTATATAGACTGTAATAACTCATCAAATGAATGCAATAGGATTATTCCACCTTAAATTAAATTTTCCATCAACCACATTCCCTCAAATGCCAACAGGTATATAATAAAAACTCGATGAAGAAAGGTCTTATGAGACTTTGTTGTTTGGGCTCTTATACACTGTTCTTTCAGGGATTCATTAGTTACTTCAGTTCTGTTATCCATTATTCAGGATCTTTAAAAATAAAGGTCCCTGAATTTTTGAGACAAAAAGTGGTTTCTTGTATAGACTCTATAATCATAACTATGGATGATTGCCCCTCCATGTTAGTCTTGCTTGAAAAGTGGGAAAAGGCTATAATAATAAACAATGGGTAATAAAATAAAAACAACTTTTTCAAGGAAATAGATGCTTCTCTAAGAATGTAAAACCCTAGGATCCTTTAGACTTTTTGAACTATGGAGCTTTCCTGAAGAAAAGGGCTTTACAAATCCTGAGCAATCTGTTTCAGAACTTTTAATTAGTCCCGTTTGATTATTAATTTTGTAGTGTGGTCACTTCAGTATAATAGTATATAATTTTTAATTTACTTGCAATTTCAGGGTCAAACCATGATCAACTTATAGTTTTTCCTGAATAAAAATGATACAAAATCTTCCAATAGAACTACTACAATATTATTTTTGATCCTTTCAATGAACTTTCTTATATTTGAAATATGAATAAAATTTGAATCCAAAAGTGTCGTTTGATAATAGTATTTCAGTCAGGTCCCTAGATGTTAATAGTTTACTGAGGAATGAGAATGAGTTTTGAAACTGTGACACTGACATATATTATGTTATATTTTAAATTTTACAATTATTAACAAATGAATTGCAAACAAAAAGAAAATTTATAAAAAGGTTAATTAAATCTTCAAACTTCTCTGAATATAATCTACTCAAATTTTATGATTTAATTAATCTTCTTGAATCTCAGCTTTCACATCTGAAAAATGGACATTCTATAATCCATGTGTGAATCAAATAGGTAAATGGGCATCAAATGACCTAATGCATAAACAAATTTGATTATATACTTCAGGTTAGATAAATGTTTTATCACTACTGTCTTTCTACATTTCCTTCTGAATTTTTATTCCTTTCTTCAACTTTCCTTAAGTCTTTATATCTTAAAAATGACTTCCTCTATGATTTAACTAAGATAGACACACAGAGTTGACAAAAAAAACCACCCTTAACTTAAAAAAGTGCTAAATGTCCTGATCCTTTTTACTTCCATCATTGGTCAGAATAATTGCCAGCACAAAACATTGTTTACAAAAAATATTTTAAAAAACTCTTTACATTTGGATCTAAAAAATATTTAGTAATTATATATTATCTTTCAATAATAGTAGACAGATTCTCAGTAATGACTTCAGATAATGGCATCGCTGTACTTGGTGAATGTTCATCATTTCAGAAAGCACTGATTGTCGGAATGTCAACATTAGCAAGTTG